CATTAAAAGCGTAAATTTACCGCGACATTCATGCCCATTACGAGTGGATGTGAACATGTGACCAGTCTCAGCGTTCGTCCACTTTCTCACAGGAAATTTCTTTCACTTTAATGTAAATCTGATCCAAACCCACAAACAGTCCTTTGAGTCCCAAAGTGACCACAGATAAAGTCCTCAGAAGGTCTAACACGATGACGCGTCCTCACAAATATGGAGATTTGACCACAGACACAAAACGCGCTCTGCTGCTGAGTTTGGCCCGTCGGATTCTGGTTTGGAGATGACAGAAAGATGCTGTAAGGACAGCATGCTGCATCCCTGTGTGTGTGTGTGTGTGTGTGTCGCCCACTTGACCATTCATGTGTTCAGTCACTGAGGTGAGGAGTCAGAGACGTGATGAACATGAAGGCGGTGAGGATTTCTCAGGTCCTGCTGTCATCCTCCCTGGCTGGACTGGAGAGTGTTTGTTTGTACTTGTATTACAGACTCTGTGGGGACTTAAGTCTGTTGGACACATTGTGGGAGCGCGTCTCGTTTTGAGGACAAACAGCGAGTCCCTATAAGTGCAGGTGCATCTTAGGATGAAGACTGGGGTTAAGGGTTATCCTCCTGATGATGGATGTACACGACTGTAACGTCAGCTTGATGATGAAGGCATGACTGTGTGTGTGTGTAAGTGTGTGTGTGTGTCAGGGTTGGCGAGGAAGCGACAGAGCGTGACCGATAGAAAACGAGAGGCGTAATGAGATGGAGGTAGACGCAGATAGGACAGAGATAGAAGAGATATGTTATCAGTACTCGTGTCAGGTGTTTCCTGTGAGTGTCTCCATCTGAGCTGATTACTAACCTCAGATCTGAGCTGATTACTAACCTCAGATCTGAGCTGATTACTAACCTCAGATCTGAGCTGATTACTAACCTCAGATCTGAGCTGATTACTAACCTCAGATCTCTACATCAGCACAAATAATAAGGTGTGATTAGTATTTCAGCATAGTCAGAAAAACTCCTTTACTCTTGTTTACATCTCTGAATCCTAAACTTCCTGTGATACTGCAGCTGCAAGCGATCCATGCAGGTTAACACAGCATTCACCCCCCCGGTCCTCCTGTCCTGGGACACTTCAGGGCAACAGTCAGCCCACTTTTATTTACATAGCACCAAATCACAACAGTAATCACCTCAGGGTGATTTATATTGTAAGATAAGGAGCCTACAATAATACAGAGAAAACCCCAAAAATCAGACGCCCCCTGCTGGGCAAACACTTGGTGACAATGGAAAAGAAAAAGGAAAAACTCCCTTTCAACAGGAAGAAAGCTCCACCAGAACCAGACTCAGGGAGGCGTGGCCATCTCAAAAAGGGCGTGGTCTCTGTGACTGACAGATGGATGGAGGGCAGGCAGCTGTAGCTGTTACCTGCCTGCAGTTGAAAGTATTTAATATAATTGTCCAATGAAATCCCTGCTGTGTGGTTAACTGTACAAACACGCTACCAAAGACGTCCATGCTCCAGTTTTCTGATAGAAATTCTCCCGTTTTATTGAGTTAGCACAAGTTTGCAAGCATCTGCACGCACACATGCACGAGGCTGATGGATAGAAGTCACTAACAACGTCTGCTAGTATTAGCAAATGCATTACTCCATGCTCTCATCCTTATCAGTTCTTTCTGATAATACAACGAGGGAGCCAAATGTTAATGTTTGTCACGTGACAATGACATTTTTGGGCTCCACTCATTATCAACACCATGAAACAGGAAGTCTTTGGAAGGGAAGTTTTTTCTTTGTTAGAGCTCAGAAGAACTGGGTGCTGCCCCTCAGCAGGCGTCCAGTAACTGACCAATCACAGTAAAGCATATTTTTAGGGAGTTGAGCGAACAACAGGAGCTAAAATGATTGTTTCGAGATGAACTGTGCACTATAACAAGGATAGGAACTGTTTTAAACTCTGAATCATCCAAAGCTGGTCCATGGATACGCTTTAATAACAGACGTTACTCGATTTTGACCATCTCATAAATGACTGTCTGACACACATAAGTGTGTTTTATTAAAGAGCCACGTTAAGTGCACATGAAAGACGTCAGATTGACTCTCTGTGAATCAGAGCTGCTTCAGCTCGGACAGAAAGGACAAAGACGCTACTTTCAGCTCATGAAAGGCTCGCGGCTGCAGTCTCCAGCTGCTGAATGCATCCTGAGCACAGGTTTGGTGTCTCTTCTTATCTGTGACGTATTTAATTATGTGGTTTGTTCAAAGGGAATACGCATTTACGACTGACAGCTCACCACACAAAGACAATCTTTGTGATGACGACAAGCAGCTGAAGGAAACCAGTGAGACCAGTTCATGTTCTCACATCTTCTTCTGCTGGAACTATTTCTAACGCAGCCTCAAAGCAACGAGCCGCAGTGCAATCCCACTGAGCTCATGTGACGGGAAGGAGGCGGCTCTGTTCGCCGAGCTCGCTCCACACAGACGTGAATGAGTGTACCGTCAGCTGACCCACCGTCTCTGCTAACATCCACAGACATCCTCGCACAAACAGGAGGAAACAAAGCATGAGAGCAGGAAGAAGAGCTGAAAACAGCGAAGAAGAGATAAAATCCCAAGGGTGAGGACGACAGCGCAAAACTCATGATGTGCACAATTCTTTTTTCCTCTTTTTTAACACGCAGTACATAAAACAAAGCGTTGGTGATACAGAGCATACACCTGAGCAGTTTCATGGTCCCTCATGGAAGAACTTTCATCAGCGCCCTTATTTCCCCGGGGTCGCCACAGCAGATTGATCCACGTGTTTGATTTGGCATAGATTTCCCCCCAGAGGCTGTTTCTGATGCAATTATCCCAGTTTGGAACCAGCGCTAGTGGTACATCAGCTCGTCAAATACCGAGGGTGGGTTTGCATCTTCTCTCAAACCAGGAGTCGAGCGTAGGCTCTGAACCCTCACAGAGTCAGGGCCTCTGAGTTCTGCCAGTGCGATATAATCAAATTAAAAATGCTCCAAAAGGCTCAAACAGCACAAACAAGGTCCAAAGATCCAGTTCATAATTCTCCAAAAATAAAACACTTATTCTTTAATCACACAAATGGTTTGATTACGTGAAGCCAATACTGTCAGTAACTGAAGGTGATCGGCAGGTCTGACAGGTTCTGCATCGACTAAAATGAATGTTGCCACAGTAATAATGACTCGTGTTTCCTATTGTTGTAATTCTTCTGTTATTCAGTTTAATGGAAATATTTTCAGTTTATCAGCATCAAAGTTTTCCATGGTTTAAATATTTGTTGCAAATTGATGAAGTAAAAAAATGCTCTTCCTTTTTCTGCCTCAGACCAGTCTGACCTCTGACCTCTGAGCCTCCTACGTCCCACGAGCCACTTTGGGAAGCCTGGAAACAGACCTCCAAATCCTCCACCTTGCACGGCCACTCGAGCCACAACACAGCGTCTGAAGACAACGGTCTGAGTGAGCTTAGACGAAGTTCAGTTAAAGCTGCTCGGTGGCAGGAGCTGAACAGGTGGGTGATCTCTGATCACTAATCAGCCTGATTGATTTTACTGCTCACAGACTGAAGCACATCTGCTGAAGAGCTACAGTTCATGCATGTACAAGCCAATATCGCCATCTAGTGTCCGTCTGCAGAACTGTTTGTGTCCTGCAGCTTCAGCACTGCTCTGTGTCCTTTTTCATGCTTCAGTTTTTATTTTTTTACTCATTTTTAAATTCATTTTGTTTGTCTTAATGTCCCTTTATCACTAATTTTACTTATTACTCTAAATATGTTCTCTATGTAACCTATTTTCTACACTAAAGCAAATATATGTATGTATTTATTGAAACGTGTTAAATAAATGTAATTTTTTTTTATCCAACAATCAAATCTAATTGGGCAGCAAAAACATCCAGATGCCAACAAGATGATTCAAAGTTACTCACAGCTTCTCTCCATCTGCAGCTTTGGCATCCTGAACCAGAAAAACCGAACCAAAACTTCCTCGGCCCAGATTCTGCAGGATGCTGTATCGCTTAGCAACCAGATCACCGCCTCCGGGGGTCAAAGGTTGGGCGGCTGCCACCTCCTGGAACCGAGGCATCCTATCAGCTCACCTGTGGAATAAGAAGAGGCGAGGGAGAGCTCAGAGTCACTACAAGTGCAGTTCGACTTCCCCGAATGGAAAAATGATATCCATGTATGTCTGTGTGTTCAAACTGGCCCTCCACAGTAATTCACTGGTCCAGTGTTCCACGACCAGGACGAAATACGTGTCAGTGGGATTAAGGAGGTCCTCAAAGTGTTCCTTCCACCGCCCGACAATATCCTCAGTCGTAATCAGTAGCGCTACAGCCGCAATATACACAGTGCAGGTAGAGCACCGCTTTCCCCTCCCGAGTCGCCTGATGGTTATCAGCTGCCTCCAAAGTCCCACAGGCTAACCAAGCCTGATAAGACTCCTTCTTTAGCGTGATGGTTCCTTTTACCTCTGCCAGAGATGGGAGTCTCCCGGACTGTGGGCTCTGCTAGGCGTTTCCAGC